CACTTCCTGCTTCCTGGTCCAGCGATCATGCCTGCCCTCTGCCCACTTCCTGCTTCCTGGTCCAGCCATCATGCCTGCCCTCTGCCCACTTCCTGATCCAGCCATCATGCCTGCCCTCTGCCCACTTCCTGGTCCAGCCATCATGCCTGCGGCTGCCATTCTCTTCCTCCCTTCAGCTTACTCAGAACATCTGCAAGCTCAGTTTCCCAAGAGCATGCTCTCTTACTTAACTCATACAATGCTTCTGTAATTGACAGCTCATACACTTCTTATCCAACTTTCCAAAAACGTCCAGCTCTGTATTTGTTTTGTTTTTCCAGTCAGGGTTTCTCTGTGTGGCACTGGCTATCCTGGAACCAGCTTTGTAGCCCAGGCTGGCCTCAACCTCAGAGCTCTGCCTGCCTCTGCCTCCTGAGCGCTGGGTCTAAAGGGGTGAACCTCCACTCCCGGCTAAGCTCTGGATTTTTAAGGCAACTACTTAACACACACGAGAGAATCCGCTGTTCGTTCTGTCTGACTAAGCTCCATCCTTCACTGTTTTCTCCAAAATAAAGACAAGTGATTAACCCCTTGTGCCCGGCCACTCCAGACCCCACCGCTTTCTTGCTGGGCCATCCGTTTTGCAAACAAGTATCTTAGATTTGCCAGGTCTGTTTCATCTGGAAATAAACATCTTCTCTCTGTCCATTACAAACCCTAGGTCTATGAGCCACCTGGGCCAGAACTGACTGTTGTAGCGCCTCGGACTCAGGCCTTTACCCTTCAGTGGGGGGTTTGCTGGACTTGCGCCGGTTCACATCTAGGTAGTTTCCCCTGATTCCTATTTTACTTAAGTGTTTTTAGTAAGGAATGGATGCCAGTTTTTTAGAAGCTTATTTCTTAGCTACTAGTGAAGTAATCACCCATTTTCCCTTTTATTAGCATTCTGGGTTTTTCTTCTTTCTTTCAGAGTTGGGATTTGATCTGAGCCCCACATGCTAAGCAAGTAAGTACTCTACGACGGAACTACACATTAGCCCTGACACTGAATTACAGCGACTGGTCAGCTAATATCAAGTTATCCTAGACTTCTGTAATAAACACAATTCAGACAAGCGTGCTCTTCTTTTGCAGCACGGTTTGGTGTACCATAAAGCGATGGATCTGGAGGAAAGGGGTCTATTTACCTCCCTGTAAATTACAAAACTCTTAAACAGTACAAAATGTATAAAAATGATTGGCAATATATACAATTGAAATATGACCAGAAAAAAATATTTTAGAGATTAGTGTGAATAAATCTTTAAGAAACAAACATTGGTTACCGAAACCATTCCAGAAAGAAAACTGAGGTGCCCTCAATTTAAGTTATAATCAGTGCACTCTTAATATTAGGCTATAATATGAGAGCACTAAAAAGCATACTGTGGTGGTCTTCTAATTGTACTGAAATGTGATTTTGATTGTATGTTAATAAATAAAGTTGCCCGGGGGTCAGAGCTATTAGAGCCATAGACAGAGTGTGGCGGTGGTGGCACACGCCTTTAATCCCATAGATCTCTGTGTGTTCAGGGATACAGCCAGCATTGGAGACATATGCCTTTAAGACCTAGGGGGCTGTACATTCAGACAGTGACGAGGCAGTCATGTGTTTGGGTTTACAACCAATGAGAAGGCAGAAAAACATACTATAAAAAAAACGAACAGACAGGACATAGCTCTCTTTTGGGAAGCTGGGACACCGCAGGCAGAAGGGTGAGATTTTAGCTCTGAGCTCTGACCTCTCGGCTTTCTCTTTTACATTGTTTCTGTGTTTCTTATTTAATAAGACTGTTGATTACATCAACAGCATACTATTCTTTTTAGTAAGCATACATTTATTATACGAAACAATAAGTTCATCATTTTTTCATACACACCATTCTTATAAATACCATGTTATTCCTTACTTTAAGGATTTCACAGCTCCTTGGGGGAGTCAAAACTAGACAGAATTATAGTAACTGACGGCCGAAGTATAATCAGTTCCTGTCAGAGAACCTAAGAATAATGGCTGTTCACCACAGAAATGGATTCCCATCCCATGTAGTTTTCTTCCACAAAGAACAGCTTGTAAGATGCAGGGGAAGTAGAGACGCCCTGCTGACAGCATCCCCACTGACAACCCTGCACTGAACATCTGCCGAGGGACAACCCTGCAGACTCCACCCTGAGTCCAACATCTGGGATAGGATGCTTTTCTATCTCTTCCACTTCCTGACTACTCCTCGGAACTCCTGGGGTCACTGATCTTTGATCTTTGCAGGCTAGTAGTACACGATCTATCTAGTAAAACTTAAACCACCGTGAGGACTGAAGGTGTGCCTCCTCCCAGCCTCGTTCACTAACCTAACAGTCAAAGGCTGATCTAAGGATCAGGCTGGAACGCTCTCACAGACTGTCCTTCTAAGCCTAAGTCCTCCAAATGCCAATCACTGCTAAGTTCTAAGCTCCCAGGGAACCTGAGATGAAGGCGTAACAGACAGATGAAGTGAGAGGAGAAACCCTGCAGGCACTCACTGGTCCTTTCAGTTCTGTACCACCTGGGCAGTCCGTGCCACCTGGGCAGTCTGCGGCTGAACCATTGTGGCTGGCCTTCAGTTCGTAATCACCCACCTCAGCCTCCCTAGCAAAGACTACAAGCATGCACAACACCAGTTGCCATTTTATTAATTAATTTGAAAAATGATTTGTAAAGAGCTGTGGTGTTTCAGGAAAATGATCACATGCAAGACACCATAAAGCCAGGCTCTTGTCGCTGCTGTAGCAACCGAAGCCTGCTGCTGGGCCTCTGGCCCCTTATTAGACCCCAAACTCCGTTCAAAGCACACAAGGCTAGCTACCAAGAGAAGAGGAACCAAGTTCCCCCTACTGTGCTGTCTATGAGCCTTGCCCCAGGATGGGGCAAGTGAGGGGAGGTGCAGAGACCAAAACTCCAACAGAAATCCAGTATTTCTGGGCAAAACAAAAAAGGTCCCTGTAGAGTGTGGAGAAGATGAGAAAGAAGAAACTGGAAGAGAACGCCTGGGCCTGTGAATGCACTACACTGTTCTCAGGCCCACACCTGATCTGTGGTTCCAAGACAATCACAGTGGCACAGAACTAGTCTTGAAAATTGAAGCAGGAATGAAGGACCCACTGGACACCAGAGAAAATTTACAGTGCAAACCTAACTCAGACACCTGGAAAAACCTACGGTCAGCATTGTTCTGGAGAGGAGACCAATGGAAACAGCATGAAACCACACAGCTATAGAATAAAAAAGTGATGGAAACGTCTAGATTGGACTAACTGAGGTGGAAAGTCACATCCTCAGTGTGGGTGGGAGCTGCCCACGGGCTGGGGTCTAAGATAAAAAGGAGAAAGTGAGCTGAACACCAACATTCTTCTCTTTGCTTCCTGATGTTAGTGTGACCAACCGCTTCACACTCTTGTTGCCACTCCTAAGTACAAGCAAAAGTGAGACTTTTCTTACACTGTTCTTAGCAGGTGTTTGGTCACAACAGTGAGCAAAGTGGCCAAGTACAGTACATTCAAAAAAAAAATCACAACAACATATTATGGTGGTATTGTGTTCCCCAAAATATTGTGCACCCTAATAAACTTATCTGGGGTCAGAGACAGAACAGCCACAATATTAAACACAGAGGATAGGCAGTAGTAGCACACGCCTTTAATTCTAGCATTCCAGAGGCAGAAATCCATGTGTTCAAGGATACAGCCAAGCATGGTGACTCACGCCTTTAATCCCAGGGAATGGTGGTAGAAAGCAGAAAGGTATATAAGGCGTGAGGACCAGAAACTAGAAGCATTTGGCTGGTTAAGCATTAAGGCTTTTGAGCAGCAGTTCAGCTGAGACCCATTCTGGATGAGGACTCAGAGGCCTCCAGTCTGAGAAAACAAGACCAGCTGAGGATCCAGCAAGGTGAGGTAGCTGTAGCTTGTTCTGGTTCTCTGATCCTCCAGTATTCACCCCAATAACTGGCCTCAGGTTTGATTTTATTAATAAGACTCTTTAAGATTCCGGCTACAACGTATGCCAACTCCCTAATGACAAAATGTGGAAATTATCTCTTAAGTCTTTAGAACAGCTATCATACTTTCCATGAGGCATAAGTGACGTGAATGGGATGGGAAGATATACATTCTCAGCAGAGAAAGAGAAACCTAGCTTTAAAAGAATGGAAATTTCTGAATACCAGGATAGCTACAAATATGATCCAACACTACTGTAGACAACAACATCATTAAATGAAGGAGGAAAAAAAAAAAACAAGAAAAAAAAAAGCAATATAAACCAGAAGAAATAATAAAAATACAAACGGGGAAGAAACAAGCAGATTTAAAATCTACTTCTTTAGAAAACAATGGCAAAGAATGAGGTCAAGTGTCTAGAAATGAAGATCATCTCTCCAAGTCTACAAGATCCAGTGAGAGGAAGGCAGGGGACAGCCTAGGATGACGACAGGGGCCGGGGCAGTGTTTCCAGGAGCTAAGTAAAGAACAGACCACTGGGATCCTCTTGTGTTTATTACAGAAAGAACCTTAGGAATGAGAGCTTTCCCGGAAAAGAAAGCCTCCAGGATTGCTGGT